TTTAAATCTGTTTGATTCGGGTTTACAGACGGGTTACCACGTGGGTCCGGCTCTGCTGTCGGGTCATGGGAAATCTGACGTCAACACAATATAATCCGACGGCTAAAATATCTTACAAAAAGAGAGATTCACCAAAAAGGAAAGAGCAAAGAAAGACTTGGTGAGCAAGGCCAAGCCTAGGTTAAATCTTTAATCCAAAGTATTGGAGAGGCTCTCAGATTCGTAAAAACAGAGTTTGTGTTATTTCTTGAACAATCAATCAACAATGTCTCGGTTTCTCAACGGACCCTTCAAGCCCTCTTCCCTCGTAAGCTTCTGTCACTTGGTGGCTTTGTTCTTCTGTCTTAAGTTAGCATTATCGAGTTTGTCTCTTCGTTACTATATCAGTCTCTTTATATAATGATATCAAAGACGAAGATTGTAAGATTACTTGGATTGGTTTTTGATCTTTGTGGCAGATACACAAGAGAGGAGCACGTGTGTTCTCATCTTCTGTAACCGGACCCTTTAGGAGATTTGGGAATAGGGTTAAGTATGAGCTCAGCGATGAAGATGTTCACATGTTCGATGCTTCAAAGGAAGGTGATGTGTTTTTGTCCCTGACTCAAGACTCGTGGCAACTCAAGACTCATGGCAACCACACTTGGATGGGGACTTTACCGTTGCCAGATTAACTCTTACTCTTTTTGTATCGCCGACCACTTAAATCCACTGGCTTCAAAATCAAAATCAAATGTGAAAACATTGTCTAGGGTTTTTCCTAACCCCCATTGCCAAACTGAGGTCGTTTGCAATATGGCAATGTCTTCTAATCCCTGTGTTTATGATGAAGATTGGGTCATTGCTATCAAGTTCTTTGGTAGACAGCTGAAATATCTGCACACCCGATGGGTGGGCTGCCATTTCAATTCCTTCCTGTATCTTCCAAAACTCTAAAGTTATGTATTCCAAGAGAGATAAAAAGTTCTACTTGCCTGCTCCTGGAAGCAACTACTTGTGCTCATGGGATCTCCACTGCAAGGAAGACGACGACAATAATCCTGAGTTCCATAAGTATTTGTATGGCAACCAACCGAAGTTGTCACAGACCGAGTACGAGCTGTTGGATCCTTGTTCCAAGGCAGAACACTGGGTGGAGTCACCTTCAGGGGAACGTTTCCTAGTCAAATGCTACTCATTTGTCTCCCCCTCTTTGGAGAAAGAGCCGGTATTGATGGTGTATAGAGAGGAAGAGACGACACAAGGAAGATACATGTGTTACACAAAGGACATTGGAGATTTGTGCATCTTCCTTTCAGAGGTTGACCCTTTTTACCTTGAGGCTAGCTCGTGCCCCGGTCTCAAGCCTAACTCCATCTATCTAATAGAACCGGTCTTTGGTGTTTACGATCTCGCCACCAGAAATATCCGTCATTTTGAAGCTCCAGTTGAAGGTTCACTCAATCCAGATGAAGAGTTTGAGGTTTACTTCCCTCCTCACTGGCTTCCTCCGGTTTCTATCTAGCTCTAGCTGTCTCTTCTATGAATGCTGATGTGATCACGTTCTGCTAAGTAGTTAGTGCTGCTATGAATCTCTCAAAGTGTGTAATGAACTTTGTTAAACTTGTTTGTCATCTCAAACTTTAATTATGAACGAACCAACTAGCAAGGAAAAGTTTCAATCATCTTCTCTTTATTTTTTTTTTTTATATACCACAATCACTTTTCTCTGTATTAATTTCGTGCTATTTATAGATCAAAAGTGCAAGGATTAGTCAGAAAGAAATCAAAATCATCTACCATAACCTGTCGATTTTTTTTGGTATGGCTCTTTTGGCATGAGACTCAACTCTAAGGTGTATTATTATTTTTTTGGATAAAATGTAAATATTATTCAAAAGAGCATTTGAGATCATGCAATTTATAACTTGGTCTCATGCTTTTAACGAATTAAAACATGAAAGCAAACAGAAACAGAGTAACAACTACCGTAATCTCATGGTTACGGCGTGAAATTACAATGGTAAGACTAACCAAAATCTTTGGAGGAAATGAATACGAGAGTAACATAATTTGGAAAATATACGGAGATCGCCAAAACACAGAAAGAGTTTGATGGAAGCCCCTTCCCCGGCAGCCCAATACACAAGATGAATCTTCAGTAGATAAAATTCACCACAACCAATCTAACAACCTGAAAAAACAACTTGGACGAAAATACGACGAGCCAAAGAGCTGAGCTCCTCTCACTAACGCTACTATGACACGAAGCAAGAGAATCCACAAAAACAATGGCTGTACTAACTCCTCCAACCAACAATGAAAGCGAGGAGGATAAATCCGGACAAATTCTCAGTGAAGCGACACCCTCTAATTTAATCCAAAAGTATATGCAGATGATCAGAAAACCAATACCGGTAATGCAGCAATCCAATGCCCAAAACTAGAACATGACCAAACCTTGTCTTAGACTCAGTTAAGTCACANGATCCNTCAAGGANAGTTNTTAGTGGNTGGTCGGAAGCGACTCANGAATCACTAAACAAACTAAATGCAAAGGAGGAAGTCCAAAGCCAGACCACACAAAACCGGACAAGGTGAAGTGAAACTAAAACNACGATAGCCGCTAAAAGAGGAAGTCATCGAGTCAACAAGGTCCTCGCCGGAGAGCAAATAGCCGGTCCTCAAAGCCGTGGATGACCAGGTCCAAATACCCATAACAGAACCACCATTAAACACGCCTTCCAACTCCTCTAAAACAGACAGGCAAAGCAAGAGAATCAAACCCGACACTGAAAACACTCAACCAAGGAGAGCAATCGGACGGCCACAACCAAAATAGAAACACTCTCATTCACCGACACTGGAAATCTCAAAGAGCCATTACCCTAGGAGACAACAACGGTCTTCCGAGTGATGAGATATGCTTCTCCACCGGAGCTACAACCGTCCCAGAACAGAGTAACACGAAGTAGAGGGAGCCAAACCACCGGAAGAAAACCAGAGCGCGGCGGATCTTCCAAAGAAATCCATAGAAGTTGCGAAACCACTGAGAACGGAGAGATTTGGACACGTCTATCGGACGTCGCTCCTTAACCGCTGAAAAATCCCCGTCGCCGGACGGAGAAACGTGAGGCTAGTGGAAGGCTGCAACAGATTCCAGCCGACGACGCTCTGCCATCGACAAGCCAGAGAGACACGGCGGAGAAGACCCTCACACCCAGACGTGGCCTTCACAAAACGGCGGCTCTTCCACCACACACCGTGAAATCCAGATCTAAACAAGAGGTTCCGTTAAAGTCATAGGCCCTAGAACTGAGCAACAGAAAGGAAAGGCGGTTGCCCTCTCACGGAATCGGTCGGAACCGGTCTCCGGAGAGGCGATCGGAGCTAAGATACGGTGAAAACGCGGCTTAGATTTAGAGAGAAGAATCGCCGCGCGTGTATTATTGTGTCCGATGATAAAAAGATACTTAAAGCAATGTAGAGTATCCAACCTATATCCCCTGTTTCTCCCTTGAGCAACGTTGTTTGGCTTGCAATACCGACTTTGAAAAGGTCTTTGTCGGGGTCAAAACCCATTGAGATGGCATATTTGGATTTCTACAACGCCAACACAGAGATTAGAACAAAAGTAATTATCCCGTGCTTAGAAAGACAGTATTCATTAGCAACAATCTTGCAATAGTCTATGAATTTCTTGAAAATACAGAATATATTCTTTTGATAACGCAGCTCTTGCATGTTATTTACCGTGAAAGATCGATAGGAAGAGAAGTTTACCTAAATCTGATGAAATTTGAAAGCTATAATAATAATGTCGTATTGTAACTTGTAAGTTATGTCACAAAGAACCATAATTGATGATTATATAATTCTTTAATTAAAAAACAACTAACTTTGTTTGGAATTTTAGTTTCATATATTTTGAAGCTTAGAGTCCTTGATACTGCATTTCCTTGAATCTTAGACTCTTTTCTTTGCTATGAAGATCATCTATTTACCCGTACTATTTTATTTTCCATATTAATTGAACAATACAGTACTTAACGGGAAGTGTTGCTGTGAAACGGAGTACTTTACAAAACAGAACACTACAAATATCAGAACTCAGAAACACTAAGAACATGTGCAATGGTGTTTCTTAAGTCAAGTTCTTAAGACAAAACATATTAAATTTAAATAATAATTTATTGTATTACTAAGAACCGATCTTTAATTAAAAGATTTAAGAAATAGTTTTTAGGTGTTACGTGTCACCTTTTGATTCGTGGATGATTTTTTGACAAATAAAAAAATAAACACGCGTACAACGCATTTATTAAAAGTAATATATTTTTCATTTTATTCAATGTACTATATTTATAAATTTTGAGATAAATTATACTTAATAAAATATTTCCATATTTTTTTTACTATTATTAAGAATTCCTAAAGGAATTTTACTATTGAAGTAGGAAAAAATTAAAATCTATTGAAAAAGTTTTTAGAGCATGATGATGCAAAATATATAATAAACAAATTGATTAGAACCTCACAAGGGTATCCACCGTTAAACATGGTCTAAGAAGGCTACTTAAATTTAAGAGGGAGTATTAATTATTCATATATCGATCTTTTAATGGGTTCCTTATGTGATCTGTTCTGGATCTTTCTAACCTATTTAATAAAACTTCATTCCCGAAAGAAAAATAAAAAAAGGTATGAAATGTGGTTGGCTAAAAATTTATTATCTACTTGTTGATCCCATCGTCAGAGTTATGACATCTTTGGTAGTAATTGGAGTGGACAATTTTACTTAAAAAAAA